ACAGAAATCAGTTCCTTGAGAATATAGGCTCAGTAGCACTTGATATATGCTCAAGCCACAGGCTCAGTAGCACTTGATATATGCTCAAGCCACAGGCTCAGTAGCACTTGATATATGCTCAAGTCACAGGCCCAGTAGCACTTGATATATGCTCAAGCCACAGGCTCAGTAGCACTTGATATATGCTCAAGTCACAGGCCCAGTAGCACTTGATATATGCTCAAGCCACAGGCTCAGTAGCACTTGATATATGCTCAAGCCACAGGCTCAGTAGCACTTGATATATGCTCAAGTCACAGGCCCAGTAGCACTTGATATATGCTCAAGTCACAGGCCCAGTAGCACTTGATATATGCTCAAGTCACAGGCCCAGTAGCACTTGATATATGCTCAAGTCACAGGCCCAGTAGCACTTGATATATGCTCAAGTCACAGGCTCAGTAGCACTTGATATATGCTCAAGTCACAGGCCCAGTAGCACTTGATATATGCTCAAGTCACAGGCCCAGTAGCACTTGATATATGCTCAAGTCACAGGCTCAGTAGCACTTGATATATGCTCAAGTCACAGGCTCAGTAGCACTTGATATATGCTCAAGTCACAGGCTCAGTAGCACTTGATATATGCTCAAGCCACAGGCCCAGTAGCACTTGATATATGCTCAAGTCACAGGCTCAGTAGCACTTGATATATGCTCAAGCCACAGGCTCAGTAGCACTTGATATATGCTCAAGTCACAGGCTCAGTAGCACTTGATATATGCTCAAGTCACAGGCTCAGTAGCACTTGATATATGCTCAAGCCACAGGCTCAGTAGCACTTGATATATGCTCAAGCCACAGGCTCAGTAGCACTTGATATATGCTCAAGCCACAGGCTCAGTAGCACTTGATATATGCTCAAGCCACAGGCTCAGTAGCACTTGATATATGCTCAAGCCACAGGCTCAGTAGCACTTGATATATGCTCAAGCCACAGGCTCAGTAGCACTTGATATATGCTCAAGCCACAGGCTCAGTAGCACTTGATATATGCTCAAGCCACAGGCTCAGTAGCACTTGATATATGCTCAAGTCACAGGCTCAGTAGCACTTGATATATGCTCAAGCCACAGGCCCAGTAGCACTTGATATATGCTCAAGCCACAGGCTCAGTAGCACTTGATATATGCTCAAGTCACAGGCTCAGTAGCACTTGATATATGCTCAAGCCACAGGCTCAGTAGCACTTGATATATGCTCAAGCCACAGGCCCAGTAGCACTTGATATATGCTCAAGCCACAGGCTCAGTAGCACTTGATATATGCTCAAGCCACAGGCTCAGTAGCACTTGATATATGCTCAAGCCACAGGCTCAGTAGCACTTGATATATGCTCAAGCCACAGGCTCAGTAGCACTTGATATATGCTCAAGCCACAGGCTCAGTAGCACTTGATATATGCTCAAGTCACAGGCCCAGTAGCACTTGATATATGCTCAAGTCACAGGCCCAGTAGCACTTGATATATGCTCAAGTCACAGGCTCAGTAGCACTTGATATATGCTCAAGCCACAGGCTCAGTAGCACTTGATATATGCTCAAGTCACAGACCCAGTAGCACTTGATATATGCTCAAGCCACAGGCCCAGTAGCACTTGATATATGCTCAAGCCACAGGCTCAGTAGCACTTGATATATGCTCAAGTCACAGGCTCAGTAGCACTTGATATATGCTCAAGTCACAGGCCCAGTAGCACTTGATATATGCTCAAGTCACAGGCTCAGTAGCACTTGATATATGCTCAAGTCACAGGCCCAGTAGCACTTGATATATGCTCAAGTCACAGGCTCAGTAGCACTTGATATATGCTCAAGTCACAGGCTCAGTAGCACTTGATATATGCTCAAGTCACAGGCCCAGTAGCACTTGATATATGCTCAAGTCACAGGCTCAGTAGCACTTGATATATGCTCAAGTCACAGGCCCAGTAGCACTTGATATATGCTCAAGTCACAGGCTCAGTAGCACTTGATATATGCTCAAGTCACAGGCCCAGTAGCACTTGATATATGCTCAAGTCACAGGCCCAGTAGCACTTGATATATGCTCAAGTCACAGGCCCAGTAGCACTTGATATATGCTCAAGTCACAGGCCCAGTAGCACTTGATATATGCTCAAGTCACAGGCTCAGTAGCACTTGATATATGCTCAAGTCACAGGCCCAGTAGCACTTGATATATGCTCAAGTCACAGGCCCAGTAGCACTTGATATATGCTCAAGTCACAGGCCCAGTAGCACTTGATATATGCTCAAGTCACAGGCCCAGTAGCACTTGATATATGCTCAAGTCACAGGCTCAGTAGCACTTGATATATGCTCAAGTCACAGGCCCAGTAGCACTTGATATATGCTTAAGTCACAGGCCCAGTAGCACTTGATATATGCTCAAGTCACAGGCTCAGTAGCACTTGATATATGCTCAAGTCACAGGCCCAGTAGCACTTGATATATGCTCAAGTCACAGGCCCAGTAGCACTTGATATATGCTCAAGTCACAGGCTCAGTAGCACTTGATATATGCTCAAGTCACAGGCTCAGTAGCACTTGATATATGCTCAAGTCACAGGCCCAGTAGCACTTGATATATGCTCAAGTCACAGGCCCAGTAGCACTTGATATATGCTCAAGTCACAGGCTCAGTAGCACTTGATATATGCTCAAGTCACAGGCTCAGTAGCACTTGATATATGCTCAAGTCACATGCTACTTAGAAAAGAAAAAAGATGCAAATTGGGATGATAATGGCCTTCCCTGTTTAGGTGAAGAAAACAAATTACAGAACAACTTGAACTCTCCAATCTACCCAAAAAATGACAAGAAAGGCTATGTAGAGAAATAGAAACGCTCGAGCTCAAGCTGCAAGAATCACATAAAATCCAGGAGAGGCAAAGAGCAAAAGGTCATAAGGAAAGAGAGAGAAACCCAAAATACTTTTTATCCTATGCAAAATCTACAACTAAAACAAAATTTAGTATTAGGTCCTTGTGCAAGGGTGATGTAACTTCCACAGAAGACAAAGAAATTGGTGAAATACTGAGGCTTCAGTACGATTCTGTTTTAGATAAACCTCTGAACACATTGAAGATCTGTAATCCAAAGAAATTCTTCATGATTGTGATACTGTACCAACATCAAATCATATCAGATGTCACCCTAACCTCACTAGACTTTGAAGTAGCCATAAACTCCATGCACTCTACACCAGGCCCAGATTCCTGGAATTGTATAATCATCAGAAATGCTAAAGACTGCTATTAAGGCTTTAAACATTATTTGGAGACAGCCTAGACACTATACTGATATTACCCCCTGATATATTTAATACTGCAAAGATTGCACTACTTCACAAAAGAGACAGAAATGCAGATGCATATAATCACAGACTGCCAACACTAACACCACATATGCATATAATCATAGAATTTTCCAGTGATCAGGAAACACATTTTAACAATCATAAAAAAAAACATTGAATTATTGTTCTTGTGCACAGTGGAGTTATCGGGTATTAATAGCTGCGCCGCCCAGGGGTTAAGGCTAAGTATCAAAGCATGAAGCATTTATTGAATCTGTTTACACACATTGTGGTCTACCAAGAGGTAAAGAGTATTAGTTAAAGTGTTAGGAAGTTAAATGTCTTATAATACATCTCAAAACAGGGTATAACAAGTGCTACACCCCAGGCAACATCACACACTACTGGTGTTAGTATACTGGGGTATAACAAGTGCTACACCCCAGGCACCATCACACACTAGTGGTGTTAGTATACTGGGGTATAACAAGTGCTACACCCCAGGCAACATCACACACTAGTGGTGTTAGTATACTGGGGTATAACAAGTGCTACACCCCAGGCAACATCACACACTAGTGGTGTTAGTATACTGGGGTATAACAAGTGCTACACCCCAGGCACCATCACACACTAGTGGTGTTAGTATACAATAATTCACTGAAATATTAAACTGGAGTAGGAGTGACACACATGGTGTAACTCCAAGTGCACTTTGCATACCGAAACATGAGTGGCAAATGTGGTGAAACTTACAAGTATCGCTTTATACACTGGAGTAAGGGTAATACATACGGTGAAGATACAAACCAAGCTTCATACACTGGAGTAAGGGGAATACGTGCGGTGAAGATACAAACCAAGCTTCATACACTTCATACACTCATACACTGGAGTAAGGATAATACGTGCAGTGAAGATACAAAGCAAGCTTTATACACTGGAGTAAGGGTAATACATGCGGTGAAGATACAAACCAAGCTTCATACACTTCATACACTCATACACTGGAGTAAGGATAATACGTGCGGTGAAGATACAAACTGAACTTCATACACTGGAGTAAGGGTAATACGTGTGGTGAAGACACAAACTGAGCTTCATACACTATAGTAAGGGTGATATGTGCAGTGAAGATAGAAACTGAGCTTCATACACTGGAGTAAGGGTGATACGTGCAGTGAAGACACAAACTGAGCTTCATACACTGGAGTAAGGGTAACACGTGCGGGGAAGATAAAAAAATGAGCTTCATACACTGGAGTAAGGGTGATACATGCAGTGAAGACACAAACTGAGCTTCATACACTGGAGTAAAGGTAACACGTGCGGTGAAGACACAAACTGAGCTTCATACACTGGAGTAAAGGTAACACGTGCAGTGAAGACACAAACTGAGCTTCATACACTGGAGTAAGGGTGATACGTGCAGTGAAGACACAAACTGAGCTTCATACGCTTGAGTAAGGGTAACACGTGCGGGGAAGACACAAACTGGGCTTCATACACTGGAGTAAGGGTGATACGTGCAGTGAAGACACAAACTGAGCTTCATACACTGGAGTAAGGGTAACACGTGCGGGGAAGACACAAACTGAGCTTCATACACTGGAGTAAGGGTAACACGTGCGGGGAAGATACAAACTGGGCTGCAACAAACCTTGTGGCGTCTGGCACGGGCATGGTAAAGACTTCCAAACATGAACTATGGTTGGTGATGTAATGAGCGAGAAAGGAGCCCATGTAGCAAGTCAGCCAGCCATTGGACAAGCACCGCCAGGGAGCAGAGAGGAAAGATGAGGAAGAGTTAGTAACAACGAAACAGTCCTGCTCGGTCTGGCCGAGCCGGCAAGCACAACGTTCTGTCCACGTGGGAGACAACAAATCACTACTAATAATTGGTAACAAGATCCTAGTTTATCAATACCTCATTTCCCATGCTTTAGGAGTATGTGTGTTCATACAAATATGTATAAAAGAATATTATTGACATGTATTTATATACATGTATGTTAATATATAAATGTGTATGAATAAACATGAAAGGTATAGATGTACTGTATGCATATTTCATGCATATATACAACAAAATATTACATACTGTACAGAATTTGTTAGTTTGCAGTTAAATAAAGCATACTGTCACTCTTGGTGGAAAATCACTACAGCATGCAACTACAACTGTCTCCCCCCTCCACTGTCTGTCACTCTTGGTGGAGGATCACTATGACAAGTACAACTGTCTCCCCCTCCACTGTCTGTCACTCTTGGTGGAGGATCACTATGACAAGTACAACTGTCTCCCCCCTCCACTGTCTGTCACTCTTGGTGGAGGATCACTATGACAAGTACAACTCTCCCCCTCCACTGTCTGTCACTCTTGGTGGAGGATCACTATGACAAGTACAACTGTCTCCCCCTCCACTGTCTGTCACTCTTGGTGGAGGATCACTATGACAAGTACAACTCTCCCCCTCCACTGTCTGTCACTCTTGGTGGAGGATCACTATGACAAGTACAACTGTCTCCCCCCTCCACTGTGTCACTCTTGGTGGAGGATCACTATGACAAGTACAACTGTCTCCCCCTCCACTGTCTGTCACTCTTGGTGGAGGATCACTGTGACAAGTACAACTCTCCCCCTCCACTGTCTGTCACTCTTGGTGGAGGATCACTACATCAAGCACGATAACTGACTGTCCTGGTGGAGGAACATTACGTCAACCACAACAACTGTAGCATACACAGTCACTCCTGATGTAGACTCACTACATCACTCATGACAAGTGTACTTCACACTGTTACTCCTAGTGTAGACTCACTACATCACTCATGACAAGTGTACTTCACACTATTACTCCTAGTGTAGACTCACTACATCACTCATGACAACTGTACTTCACACTATTACTCCTAGTGTAGACTCACTACATCAAGCACCTCAACTGTACTTCACACTGTTGCTCCTAGTTTACCGTAAGTAGGCAACCCATCCTCCATCATGACAGTACCTACTGTGACGATTGTCAATAGTCAGAATTTGGACGTTCTTAGTTTCTAGATAGTAGTAATATACGGATTGGTAAGGAATTCTTTTAAAACACAAACTTAAATATTCCTAGGCCATGTATAGCGCACACGTTATTATATTAGTCCTCAGACATCGTGTATTAGGCCTAGGGAATTTAGGATAGGTTAGTTTAGTTTATCAATGCAACACAAGTAAACAAAAAATTTTCTGGTTTGTCCAACTCAATAGTTCAGATTTCAACATTCTAATTTTGTTACACATCGTTATATATACTGTACTGTACTGTACTATGGTCCTCAGCGTTACTTAAAGTAGTACCAAAACAGAAGGATGGGCTGCATTATGTCACGTCCACCAACTATACCACACACTGTTGCCCCAAGTATACTGTCACTGTCACGTCCACCAACTATACCACACACTGTTGCTCCAAATATACTGTCACTGTCATGTCCACCAACTGTGCCACACACTGTTGCCCCAAGTATACCGTCACTATGTCACGTCCACCAACTGTGCCACACACTGTTGCTCCATACATCACTCCACAAACACACTTACTGACCCATACATCACTCCACACACACACTTACTGACCCATACATCACTCCACACACACACTTACTGACCCATACATCACTCCACACACACACATTTACTGACCCATACATCACTCCACACACACATTTACTGACCCATACATCACTCCACACACACATTTACTGACCCATACATCACTCCACACACACATTTACTGACCCATACATCACTCCACACACACATTTACTGACCCATACATCACTCCACACACACACTTACTGACCCATACATCACTCCACACACACATTTACTGACCCATACATCACTCCACACACACTGATCCATACACACTCCACACACACATTTACTGACCCATACATCACTCCACACACACACTTACTGACCCATACATCACTCCACACACACATTTACTGACCCATACATCACTCCACACACACTGATCCATACACACTCCACACACACCTTACTGATCCATACATCACTCCACACACACACTTGCTGATCCATACATCACTCCACACACACACACACTTACTGATCCATACATCATTCCACACACACACTTACTGATCCATACATCACTCCACACACACACTTACTGATCCATACATCATTCCACACACACTCTTACTGACCCATACATCACTCCACACACACACACACTGATCCATACATCACTCCACACACACACACACTGATCCATACATCACTCCACACACACACACACTGACCCATACATCACTCCACACACACACACTGATCCATACATCACTCCACACACACACTTACTGATCCATACATCACTCCACACACACACACTGATCCATACATCACTCCACACACACACACACTGATCCATACATCACTCCACACACACACACACTGATCCATACATCACTCCACACACACACTTACTGATCCATACATCACTCCACACACACACACACACTGATCCATACATCACTCCACACACACACTTACTGACCCATACATCACTCCACACACACACTTACTGATCCATACATCACTCCACACACACACACACACTTACTGATCCATACATCATTCCACACACACACTTACTGACCCATACATCACTCCACACACACACTTACTGATCCATACATCACTCCACACACACACTTACTGATCCATACATCACTCCACACACACACTTACTGATCCATACATCATTCCACACACACACTTACTGATCCATACATCACTCCACACACACACTTACTGATCCATACATCATTCCACACACACACACTTACTGATCCATACATCACTCCACACACACACTTACTGATCCATACATCACTCCACACACACACTTACTGACCCATACATCACTCCACACACACACTTACTGACCCATACATCACTCCACACACACACACACACTGATCCATACATCACTCCACACACACACACACTTATCCATACATCACTCCACACACACACACACTGATCCATACATCACTCCACACACACACTTACTGATCCATACATCACTCCACACACACACACACTGATCCATACATCACTCCACACACACACTTACTGATCCATACATCACTCCACACACACACTGATCCATACATCACTCCACACACACACACACTGATCCATACATCACTCCACACACACACACACTTACTGATCCATACATCACTCCACACACACACTTACTGATCCATACATCACTCCACACACACACACTTACTGATCCATACATCACTCCACACACACACACACTGATCCATACATCACTCCACACACACTGATCCATACATCACTCCACACACACTGATCCATACATCACTCCACACACACTGATCCATACATCACTCCACACACACTGATCCATACATCACTCCACACACACTGATCCATACATCACTCCACACACACTGACCCATACATCACTCCACACACACACTGACCCATACATCACTCCACACACACTGATCCATACACACCTTACTGATCCATACACACTCCACACACACACTTACTGACTCATACATGACCAAAGAATTAGAGCTCAACCTCCACAAGCACAACTAGGTGAGTACATCACTCCACACACCCCTACTGACCCAGAAATCACACTTTGTACTCCTACTCCCCTATACTGGTCAGGGAAGAGGCTTGACTTTTGAGAGCTTGGTTCAACAGGTTGTTGCTTGGAGCGGCCTACCTGCCCACATGTCCACTACAGCCCGGTTGGTCCAGCACTTCTTGCGGAAAACTGTGCACTTTTTCCACAAGAATTCCACTTTTGTTGTGGCAATATTTCTTATACTTGCCGAGAGAATATTTAACAACTGTGGACCTGTGATGTTCAGTGTTCTCTTATTAAACTCGTCAGAAATTCCAACACATTCAGATTGTAATGTAACAAGCATTAAATGCTGTTGCTTTACATTAAATTACTAACAATTAAATTACCTCAGTTACACAATAAGAGATAATAGGACGCATCATTCTTTAAAAAATGAGAATAGAACTGCGCGTTGTTTACGTCTCGTACAAATACTGTACTGTAATATAGATAAACAAATATTAAACCCTGCAGTCAGATGGCTGTATTTAACAATAAACACTTTCCGGTGTTAAATGGAATAACTTACAATCAAATATATTAAATAACGTAACTTTTCTCAAAATAAAACTGAACCGTTTTGACTGCGGAAGAAGAGAGTGACGCCATCAAGCAGACTTCCCGTGAGGAACACGAACTACAGTGCTACCAATACTTGAGAATTACCAGGTATTTTGGAGCCAATCCAATGATGTATTAACATTAGTTAATTGTGATCCGGTTATGAAGCAGGAGAACACCCAAAAATGGGTAAGTGTCCAATATGAAATCAATCATACTCAGTGTCATATCTGTTATAAGGATGTTGTTGTATTTTACGGTGTATTATTCCGGAAGGTAAATTGTGACGACTTGAGGCATTGGCAGCAAGTTACCTGGCTCAACACGAGGGTTGCCATGACACCATTATAGCCTGAGCCACGAGGCGTTACACTGTAAGTCATCACCACATGCCCACATGGCTTGTTAACCAGGCTGCAGTCTACAAAACAGCTAAGTTGTTTAACATTTACTTATTACTTACCATTCATTTTAGAATAACCAGTAGTAGAATTTTTTTATAAATTGATTAATTTTGACTTGTATACTGTAATATAAATACCCCCCCCCTCCATCAACTTGTGAAGGAAAGCTACTTGTGAGAAATTAGAATCATATAGTCCACTATCGTATCAGAGTTCGCTATGGTAAGAAATAAATCAATATAGAAATAAATTATAAATAAATTCATTACTGTAATTAAAATAAATAGTAAAATCCCACGAGTCAGTTTTGCCCACAATGCTTATGGCACCTTTACTCTTCACTGGCTCTATTCTGCATTTCCTTCCATGTCGTTCATTCTAGTATGTTGTTATTTTACTGGGCAAATTTGAGGCTGCGGTCTAGTTTCTAACCGTGCAGTACAGTCGTCTTGTTTTGTTTCACTGACTGTCTGGGTGCCTTCCCTTGGTGGTAGCAGGCATGAATAACTTTATATAACAGGTTTTCATAGTGCCACTGCTCCCTGTACCTCTTTGAGGGGGCCAAGTTCTAGCTTGTGGTCCCCAGTAGGCCAACTCCATGACTGATGGCACCTGGTAATATGGCACTGTTTCAGTGTTAGAGCCGGGGGGAGCAACAGGGGGCTCCCTCCAAGGTCAACTCCATTATGAAGTGTGGTGGAGGTCACAGGTCTTGAGTACTGGTAAACAGGGCTGCAAGTCCAAAAAAGTTGGGAACCACTGTACCAGCAGAGCTTTGACACTCCTAAAGTTATTGTGTTATAACAATATAAAACTTAGCCTTAGAAAAATATCACTCAAGAACTGCTCAACTGGCAAAACTTAACTAACCTTTTGTATTCCAAAGGGAAGTGCGCGTGTTGTTGACAAGGCGGCAATATCCGTCTATGAGGTCGGCAAGACTCTCAGCACTGGCTATGCTGGGACACGTGACACTCAGCGCTTCTGCCGTTCCTGCCACCTGCAAACCATGATAAATTAAGTGCCGAATATAATGAAACAATTTTCTGGCGGCTCCCAATGGCTCCCAGATGATAATTCTGGTGCCAGCAAAACACAAGGCAGCCTAAAGTTCGGTGGCAACAAACAGCAAACACCGCAGAATCCAGTAGGCCACAAGATGAAGCTCACAGGAATGGTCCAAAGATTAAAAAAAACACTAAAGCCTAGCTGGAGCAACTGCAGAGGCAGGTACTAACTCAACTGACAAAGCCATAGCAACCCGTTACACAGACAGGCAGACATATTGGGCACCAGGACAGCAAACACTGCACCACAACCTTAAACAGTGAGGGAGACCATATGCAGCAACACATCACTATATTCATGTACGGGTATGTGACTAAGTGAGCTCTCGCATAATGCACATGGCCACTAACACCTGCAGGACCAGCATGATGACCAGGTGTTTAGTGCATGGCCACTAACACCTGCAGGACCAGCAAGATGACCAGGTGCTTAGTGCATGGCCATTAACACCTGCAGGAGCAGGACCAGCAAGATGGCAGGTGTTTAGTGCATGGCCACTAACACCTGCAGGAGCAGGACCAGCAAGATGAGCAGGTGTTTAGTGCATGGCCACTAACACCTGCAGGAGCAGGACCAGCAAGATGAGCAGGTGTTTAGTGCATGGCCACTAACACCTGCAGGAGCAGGACCAGCAAGACGGCAGGTGTTTAGTGCACGGCCTTACTTTTGGCTGACAGCTGAGTGGACAGCGCTCAGGATTCGTGGTCCTAAGGTTCCGGGGTTCAATCCCCGGTGGAGGCAGAAACAAATGGACAGTGTTTCTTTCACCCTGATGTCCCTGTTCACCTACCAGTAAATAAGTACATGGGGAGTTAGAGAGCTGCTACGGGTGTTTCCTGAGGGTTTTTGGACCCGGATATGGATTTGGGACGGGACGAAGGAGCAGGAAAGAGAAAGGCGAGAATAAGGTAGAAACAGGATGAAGGTAAGAATAAGAGGAAGGCAAGAATAAGAATAAGAGGAAGGCAAGAATAAGAATAAGAGGAAGGCAAGAATAGGAGGAAGGTAAGAATAAGAGGAAGGCAAGAATAAGAGGAAGGCAAGAATAAGAGGAAGGCAAGAATAAGAGGAAGGTAAGAATAAGAGGAAGGCAAGAATAGGAGGAAGGTAAGAATAAGAGGAAGGCAAGAATAAGAGGAAGGCAAGAATAAGAGGAAGGCAAGAATAAGGAAAGGTGGGGTAGGAATAAGCAATAAGGGCAAAGCTTAAGTCAGGTCGCATATGTTAAGAAGGTTAACATAACAGTGTGTACTGTGAAGGGTCAGAACAGTGTGTACTGTGAAGGGTCAGAACAGTGTGTACTGTGAAGGGTCAGAACAGTGTGTACTGTGAAGGGTCAGAACAGTGTGTACTGTGAAGGGTCAGAACAGTGTGTACTGTGAAGGGTCAGAACAGTGTGTACTGTGAAGGGTCAGAACAGTGTGTACTGTGAAGGGTCAGAACAGTGTGTACCGTGAAGGGTTATAACATAACAGTGTGTACTGTGAAGGGTCAGAACAGTGTGTACTGTGAAGGGTCAGAACAGTGTGTACTGTGAAGGGTTATAACATAACAGTGTGTACCGTGAAGGGAAGTAGTAACAAAGCCAGAACTAAGGTTCATGTTGGGTCTGTTGTACCTAATAGCCAGAATGCACTACTTGCCCTATTATGCAAGGACCAATTTGCCTAACAGGCAGTGATTATTTTTTCAAATATTTATTTTCAAATTGGTTTATCTGAATTAATACTATAATATTATATTAAGAATGTGAATTACTGACTTAGTTATGTTAGGATAAGTTAGGTTAAGTTTGATGAAATTTCTATATTAGTTTTAACTCAAAAAAAATTAAAATCGAGTAAAATATAATGGAAAGCTTCATCATTCTATAAGAAACAAATTTGAAAAATATAAAATTTCATGAAAACTCAGCTTGTTAGGCAACTTGGCCTATCTTACATTGATTCTAAAACAAACAAACAAACATACACACCCATACATACATTTCTTGGGGAACAGGTTGTGGAAGCAAATACTATTCATACTTTTAAAACTAGGTATGATAGGGAAATGGGACAGGAGTCATTGCTGTAAACAACCGATAGCTAGAAAGGCGGGATCCAAGAGTCAATGCTCGATCCTGCAAGCACAAATAGGTGAGTATGTATGTATGTATGTATGTATGTATGTATGTATGTATGTATGTATGTATGTATGTATGTGTATATATATATATATATATATATATATATATATATATATAGATATATATATAGATATATATATAGATATATATATAGATATATATATATAGATATATATATAGATATATATATAGATATATATATAGATATATATATATATATATATATATATATATATATATATATATATATATATATGTCGTACCTAGTAGCCAGAACGCACTTCTCAGCCTACTATGCAAGGCCCGATTTGCTTAATAAGCCAAGTTTTCATGAATTAATTGTTTTTCGACTACCTAACCTACCTAACCTAACCTAACCTAACTTTTTCGGCTACCTAACCTAACCTAACCTATAGAGATAGGTTAGGTTAGGTAGGGTTGGTTAGGTTCGGTCATATATCTACGTTAATTTTAACTCCAATAAGAAAAAATTGACTTCATACATAATGAAATGGGTAGCTTTATCATTTCATAAGAAAAAAATTAGAGAAAATATAATAATTCATGAAAACTTGGCTTATTAGGCAAATCGGGCCTTGCATAGTAGGCTGAGAAGGGCGTTCTGGCTACTAGGTACGACATATATATATATATATATATATATATATATATATAGATATATATATATATATATATATATATATATATATATATATATATATATATATATATATATATATATATATATATATATATATATATATGTCGTACCTAGTAGCCAGAACACACTTCTCAGCCTACTATGCAAGGCCCAATTTGCCTAATAAGCCAAGTTTTCATGAAATAATGCTTTTTCGGCTACCTAACCTACCTAACCTAACCTAACCTAACTTTTTCGGCTACCTAACCTAACCTAATCTATAAAGATAGGTTAGGTTAGGTTAGGTTGGGTTGGTTAGGTTCGGTCATATATCTACGTTAATTTTAACTTCAATAAAATAAAATTGACCTCATACATAATGAAATGGGTAGCTTTATCATTTCATAAGAAAAAAATTAGAGAAAATATATTAATTCAGGAAAACTTGGCTTATTAGGCAAATTGGGCCTTGCATAGTAGGCTGAGAAGTGCATTCTGGCTACTAGGTACGACATATATATATATATATATATATATATATATATATATACTATTAAATATGACCGAAAAAGTAAGATTAATAATTCTAACACGAATTTTCTCAATCTTTCGTACATTACGCTTCACTGTTGGAGGTAAATCAAAAATCAATTCTCCAAAATTCATTTTTATTTCTAGTCTGACGCGACACGGGCGCGTTTCGTAAAACTTATTACATTTTCAAAGACTTTAGTTCACAAATACACAACTGAATAGAACTTACGTATCTCCGATTTTATATCTACATTTGAGTGAGACTCCGCTCCAATATAGAAGCATCAAGAAATATGAACCAATAGGCTTTCTACAAACACTTCTATTCAATATCCATTGTTTCGTGTTCTGTCTTGTGTTGATGAAATTAATACCCTATTAATACCACATTTTGTTCTGTCTTGTGTTAATGCCACATCACCCCTTCCACCTCACTCAAATGTAGATATAAAATCAGAGATACGTAAGTTCTATTCAGTTGTGTATTTGTGAACTAAAGTCTTTGAAAATGTAATAAGTTTTACGAAACGCGCCCGTGTCGCGTCAGACTAGAAATAAAAATGAATTTTGGAGAATTGATTTTTGATTTACCTCCAACAGTGAAGCGTAATGTACGAAAGATTGAGAAAATTCGTGTTAGAATTATTAATCTTACTTTTTCGGTCATATTTAATAATATATGTCTACAGGAAAGACTGCTACCAAAATATATATATATATATATATATGTTTAATTATGTTTGTTTAATTTTGGGTGAAACAGTATATAGAAAATGCAATATTAGTAGTTCAATGAAAACTTAACAAATTTATGAAGAGGTAAACAAGGCTCAAATTAGCAAGACACACACAGGTGTTGGTGGAAGCTGACCTTAAGCTGGACGAGAGCCTTGCGGTGCACGGCACAGTCCGTTGTCAACGTCTCTACGTTCTGCACCTGCTCAAAACTTGCCATGTGTTGAGGCTGAAAAATTGAGGCACGTGTGATATAAAATTATTCTTATGTACAATATGTAATTTAATCTTATGTATCTTATGTACTTGGGGCCTGACAGCTGAGTGGACAGCACTTTGGATTCGCAGTCCTGAGGTTTCAGGTTCAATCCCCGGTGGAGGCGGAAACAAATTGACAGAGTTCCTTTCACCCTGATGCTCCTGTTCACCTACCAGTACATAAGTACATGGGAGTTAGACAGGTGTTACGGGCTGTTTCCTGGGGGATGTGTAACAAAAAACTAGCGTTAAATGTAATGAAACGCCATTTTCTGGGTGAGACCCGGAGGTTCCCCAGAGCTTATTCAGGCTGATATGCTAATGTCAGACTTTGGCATCAGTCATGTGTATGGAGTTCTGTGGGCCTACCGGGGACCACGAGCCAGAACCTGGCCTTCTCAGAGAGGCATGGGGAGTAGTGGCCTACAGAAACCCCTGTGTGGTTGGAAGCATTCTATGTCTGCCATCGACCAGGTCAGGCACCCAGAAAGGTAAGCATCCCAAAACAAACCCCTATTCTAGTGAAAATTGCTACCAAAAGCCGAACAAGTGGATAGAACTCCCCAAAAAGAAACAAATGAGCAAGACGTCACACGTCACCATACCGCTGTCTGTGCAGCGCCCCTCTCCCCGGGAGGGGGAAGGGGGAGCCCCAGACCCTCGCGCCGGCTATCCACCCTTCAGTTCTGAGGCTGGATGTCAAAAAACACAAATAAACCACCCACCGGAGGGAGGGATGCCGGGGAGCCTCCGGGTCTCACCCAGAAAATGGAGTTTCATTACATTCAACGCTGGTTTTCTGGAATGGAATAGATATGAATGTCCATACCAAGGGGCAAGCAAGGCAAACACCCCCCCCCAAGACACAAACAAAAAAGAAAAACAAAACCCCGCAAGAGGACAACGTAACCAAAGGAACAGAGCCGGCCGCTATGAATAGAGAAAACAAACTGGGCAGCACCCTGCGCCCCATACCAGTGCAAACTGCCTCTTACCCTAAGGTAAACAAGGGAGACAAAACACCCAAGCACCCAAAGGGTGGCCGAAAAATCGAGCAGTGAAACAGCCCAGCAGAGGCAGGACTCAAGGAACTTGTGGAAGGTAACCCCAAGCCCCAAGGGCAGTACTTACAGGGCACCTAGGGATGGGAACCCTAGACGCATGCAGCCCAAGTACTGTAGAATAACTCCTGGCTCTCGCACCCCTGGAAGACAGCCACCACACTCTAAGCACAGTGCTGAAAATCACTGGAGCCAGAGCACACGACCTCTGCCTCTAGCATCAGCCTCAGAACTGAAGGGTGGATAGACGGCGTGAGGGTCTGGGGCTCCCCCTTCCCCCTCCCGGGGAGAGGGGAGCTGCACAGACAGCAGCGCAATCATGCTCATTTGCTTGTTTCTTTTTGGGAAGTTCTATCCACTTGTTTGGCATTTGGTAGCAATTTTCATCAGAATAGGGGGTTTGTTTTGGGAAGCTTAACTTTCTGGGTGCCTGACCCGGTCGATGGCAGACATAGAATGCTTCCAACCACACGGGGATTTCTACAGACCATTGCTCCCCATGCCTCTCTGAGGGGGCCAGGTTCTGGCACGTGGTCCCTGGTAGGCCCACAGAACTCCATACACATGACTGATGCCAAAGTCTGACACTAGCATATCAGCCTGGATAAGTTCTGGGGACCCAACGGGGCTCCTCCCAGAAAGGAGGCCTGGTCGAGGACCAGGCCGCGAGGAAGCTAAGCCCAGAAATCACCTCAAGAAGATACAATAACAATACCAATTGCTAAAACAAACTCCACATTTTAAAAGCTGGGTCGAAGTCGGTGTTGTCGACCAGCCATCAACTCAAGAAGCGCAGGTACTCCAGGTATCAAATTTGTTTCCAATTTCCCTTTTCCTAACATCGTGCAGTTGGTTAAAAATGTTTTGCAATACTGAAATAAAGTATTATAATAAAACAAGCCTCTACGTTTGTAGTTGCATACAGTTTAAAGCATCAATGATAATTTCGTCAATATAATACTGATTACTGACTCGGTGTCGGTGTTTTAATTATGCTGTCTAAAAGAATGACATATTTTGCCAAAATTGACCATCAGCATGTCATAAAATTCTTAGTAAGTCAAAGTACCACAGCAAAGGAAATTCATGGTGAATGTATGTCTTAGATGCTTATCAGTATGTCATTGTTACAAGGTTGGCCAAAGAATTCCAGCATTGGCCACTGGAGTCCTAGCAGAGGCCAAGGAGTCCTAGTATATGTCAAAGAGTCCTAGCAGGGGCCCAAGGAGTTCTAGGATGGGCCATGTTGTACCACAGATCACTACATACTTACATGTGTTGTATCTAGAATACAAATTTTATAATTTAATTGCGAGAAACGTGGTGAGAGAGCAATTGTTAGCGAGGACCTGCACCAACCTTGCTTGCAGAGTCGGTCACATAGGAGATCCCCACACACGGCCCCACCACCAGTGTCACCGGGATTGACCAGCCTGACTGCAAAATGTATATCAGCATTAGTAAGTTATTTTGCTTTGTCAAGCTACAACTGTTCAGACTTCATTGATATCAGCTCACAATATAACTGCCACTGTCCCTCATATATCAGCTCACAATATAACTGCCACCATCGCTCATATCAGCTCACAATATAACTGACACCATCGCTCATATCAGCACACAATATAACTGACACTGTCCCTCATATATCAGCTCACAATATAACTGACACTGTCCCTCATATATCAGCTCACAATATAACTGACACTGTCCCTCATATATCAGCTCACAATATAACTGACACCATCGCTCATATGGAGTGACAACTGACCATATCCCTCATATCAGATCATATATAACCAAGACATTGTTGCATCAGTATAAGAGTGTTTCAGTAGAGTGTGTGGAGATGAAGGTGAAGTATTTAAGGACGTTGAGTGAGGGTTGTGGAGTCACAACTGTCTGGACGAGGTGAAGACCCCGGTGTTTGTTATACACTGTGGTGTGGACGACGTGAAGACCCAGGTGTTTGTTATACACTGTGGTGTGGACGAGGTGAAGACCCAGGTGTTTGTTATACACTGTGGTGTGGACGAGGTGAAGACCCAGGTGTTTGTTATACACTGTGGTGTGGACGAGGTGAAGACCCAGGTGTTTGTTATACACTGTGGTGTGGACGAGGTGAAGACCCAGGTGTTTGTTATACACTGTGGTGTGGACGAGGTGAAGACCCAGGTGTTTGTTATACACTGTGGTGTGGACGAGGTGAAGACCCTGGTGTTTGTTATATGGTGTAGTGCATAAATCCACACATTGCAGGCAATTAACAAGTCCCGTTACTATTGTAATGCCTGATTAATCTCAACTGTAGCTCAGACAATAGCTATGACAAAACAATAAGGTAACATGAGATACTCTGCCTAATGTTTTTAGCAGCTTCTCAATGATGAATCACATCCAACAAAACTATGAATCATGACCAATGAAATGGTGAATTAGGACCAATGAGACGATGAATCATGACCAACAAAACCATAATCATTACCAATTAAACAATAACTCTGGACCAACGACAAGACGAATCAGGACTAATGAAATGATGAATTTGGACCAGCAATACAATGAAATAGGATCATTGTGATGATGAAGTAGGACTGTGACAGTTAATCAGGATCAACAAGACAATGAATCAGAACAACACACAATGGAATGAGAAACACACAACTCACCCCGAGTGCACAGCGGAATGACTCCTGGTCGTATTTCCTGACCTTTCCTAACAACTCGAGGAATTTAAAGTAACACTCTGACTCCGAGAGCTGTCCGAACTTTTTGATGTGCTGCTGAAGAGCCTTTCTCAACGTTTTTGTTTTGATTGTGTTGAGAATGGATGAGGGAAGGAATTTGTGGAATCCAACTTCTTTTTCCAGGTATTCAAAGTTGGATTTCTTCTCCAGCGTGCTACTGGACACATCCTGCATCAAGATAATATTACAATGATCATTAATCTTCTCCAGCGTGCTACTGGACACATCCTGCATCAAGATAATATTACAATGATCATTAATCTTCTCCAGCGTGCTACTGGACATCTTGCATCAAGATAATATTACAATGATCATTAATATTCAACTGAATGAAGTCATGATGGTTCTATAACACAAATAAAGTAAATAAAACATATATACAGTACAGTATATATTTTTACTATATATACTACTGTATATCTCTCTCCTAAAGCATATGAAGGTTCAAAACCTTCTGACTGGGCTCAGCACTCTCTGACAGGGTTCAATGTCTACTGAGGGGATTCAGTGTCCTTCGACAAGGTTCAACACCCATTGGCAGGGTTCAATGCCCTCTGACAGTGTTGAACACCTTTGTTAAGCACTTCCTGACTGCATTAAATGCCTTACTCAATGCATTTCACACAAGATATGGAACAAATGTGCCAACATACCTTGAACAGTCGCTTAATTTCTATACAGGCGAGCTGAGTGGCAATATCTTGGTCAATCCCTTCATTTGCTTGACTTTCATCTTCTAGGTAATCATTCCTAACCTGTGGAACAAATCACAAAATATAATTTATTCCATTAAGAATAAAAAACTTAATATATGACAAGTAAATAATTCTTCCCGACCTGTCCCACTCGGTTACTCCTCAACCCTTAGAGTGCAGTTTCATCATACCTTGAGCCCCGGGGTAATGCAGTTATCACATGTTGATTATAGTCATTATCACCTGGTTATTATATAAATAATGTAATGTAAATATAGTTATCGTACATCAAGTTGGCCTTTACCTAGTCCCACGAACAAATTCTGTGATCGTTTCTAACCAGTTACTATGCTATGAAATTATCGTGTACAAGTAGGCCGAGATTATCGTTAAATCACAATTTGACGTTTCCCCACAGGTGTTTGAATCTATGTATGGATGACATTGTTAGAATAGCAGCAAAGAAGTGCATTGCAAGATGGCATCCTTTGAACTGTGCTAGGAACAAATTTATGTGCATTACAGTATATACATATGTCATTGTATACCTTCTGAATTGCTGTTTATTATTTAGGGTTGAAGACTATCTACAGCAGTCTTAGGGAAATACTATGTACAGTATTCCCTGTTATTATCAATAATGTTTACATAAATCTAAGTTATTGCAAACACTGTAAACTCAGGTGAAATAGAGAACATTTTAACCATCTAACTTGAGCATCACAGACCCCTCACTCGTACACAACAAGTCAACAAATTGTGTCGCCACGCGTCCACGAACCCTACCACCCGCGTTCCTTCTGCCATGCATCAAACTGATATATGACATTATTTTTGTTAACCACCATGCTGCGCCGAGTTTATTGTGAAATTCTCCCTGTGTGCATAAAATAACGTGTTTCCCAAAAATTCTTTTTTCTTTGTAAAATTCCCTTCCCTGAACATGTCTATGTAAAAATGAATACCAAATTCCACTTACTTTGGCTGTGGGGACGTGGACAAGGTGCGCTGTGACGTCATCAGGGCCTGGACCTAGATTCACGAAGCTCCATGTATTTCTTCGTAAGTAGGTTTGCTACGAAGGTTCCTAAGTGCCCGCTAAGAATGCGCCAAAGAGCGATTCAGAGAAGTAAATTTACGAAGATTTCTAAGTTCACTCAGGTCTCGCTAGATGTCACTAGGCTTTTAGTTTGGCCAATCGGAGAGAAGGTAACATTTTTCATCTTACAGCTGTAGCCAATCACGACGTTGCCATATCGGAGCTTATCCGTGACCACTTGCGACATATTTACGTCGAATTTTCTTATAAAATTAGTATACAGTATTATTATTATTACCATTATTAGTGAGACTGGCTGCCTTAGATGATAGCTGCATGCCAAGAGTTATGGGAAGATCTTGCTGTTTCATGAAGATCATTTTGTTCAGTCAAGGCAGGTGAGCTTTCTGCTCCAATGCCAGCCCAGTCTTCTATCACATTGGATGGGTCCCCAGGCCAGTCTCCTATCCCATTGGATGGGTCCCCAGCCCAGTCTCCTTTATGAGAAGATCAGCAAGAGCCAAGGAGTAGGACTGGAACCTGCACACTGGGTACTGCCAAGCACATGCCTTAAGCCCCTGCGAGTACACAGTACACAGGTTCCAGTCCTCCTCTTGGCTCCTACTGAGGTTTTCATTGATACTTCACTTTAATGTGAATTCTATGTGCAGTGTGTTGCATCACAGAGGACGACCCACAGCCCAGTCTCCCCACACTTGTTGTAAGCAATACAAGGTTCTTGGCACCAAAAATAAATGTTGCATGTTACTTGTGTAAATACTGCAAGATTTACCTGTTCATAGTAGTAGCAGAAGGTGTGACGGTCCTTTTCATAGAGTTGATGAAGATCAGAGAGGACGTAACGCACCCGCAGCTCAAACTTCCAGTCTTCACTCAGGAATTCTGGGTATTTTTCTTCAACCTATCAAGACAACAAAGAAAATAAATAAATAAATAAATAAATTATATATATATATATATATATATATATATATATATATATATATATATATATATATATATATACATACATACATACATACATACATACATACATACATACATATATATTATATATATATATATATATATATATACACACATGTGTATAGTTATAGTACATACATACATACACACACATACACACACACATTTTTGGATACAAAAAAGGTGACACCCCTAGGGTCAACACTTGCAGCAGAGGAGCTCCAGCATATTTCAACAATCCTAAGTATTGTAGTACAGGTTGATGGTAGTGAGTGGTGTCCCAGAGAACATAAAGGTATAGTGCTCTTGAAAAATAGGTGATATAACAGGAAAGTGCTAAGGGAAGTGAAAAATCGGATGAGAAAAAGTTGCCCTAGTGTTTACAGTGCAGAGAAGAACATTCAAGATGGCCACTGGCAAGGGGAAAAACAAAACAGAGCTTGATTTTGAGGGATTCAATGAAGAAAGCATTGATATTAGTAGTCTACATAACAAGTTGGTAAATTTAGATACTATAGTGAACTCTCATGTAGAAATAATTAGTAAATTGAAAGAAAGTAATGACCATTTGAATAGCAAAGTTTTATGTCTTGAGGGTTTAGTGAAAGACTTGCGCAAGGATAAGAATCAATTGGAAACAAATTGCAAAGCCATGGAAGAAGAAAATAAACTCTTAAAAATAGCTTTGGAAGAAGTTAAAGTAAATTTAAACATAAATGACTACAATAGGTTAGGCAAGGAAATTCAACAGGAGAAACAGCTTTTGTCAGCACAGATGGAGGAAGTTACACAGGGAATAGAACAGTGCAAGAAAGATATGCAACTCACTTATGCACAAGTGGCCAAGGAGAAGGAAAAAATAGAAGAAGCAGTAAAGGAAGTCAAACACTGCAGCAACCAAGATAAAACAAACATTAGGCTGGAAGTGAGGAAAGAATTGGCATCTAACCCGAAGTTGGTGCAAAACGCAGTTGATCGGAGTAAGTCCCTGATCATTTTTGGCTGCAAAGAAAAGGCGATAACATCTAGGTCAGAAAGAGCTGTAGAAGAAGCTAAAGTAGTAGATAAAATTGTTGGCCTCGTGGAAGGTCTTACAAACAGAGAGAATGTGTGCGACTACAGGAGAATAGGCAGGTACGTAAAAGGGAAAGATCGACCTTTGAGGATCACCCTAAACGGTGCCAAACAGATGGAAGAAGTACTAAGGAATGCTAGAAAATTGCAAAGGGATGAGGATGGGAAAGGGTGGTCATTAAGACGAGATCTTTCAAAAGAAGATAGAGAGAAGCTGAAACTGAACCTCGCCGAGGCAAAACATTTAAATGAGAGCAGGAATGAAGAAGAAATAAATTCTTTTTTCTACAAAGTGATAGGGGTAGGCAAACCAGTAAAGTGGTACATAAAGGCAAACCAACAAAATCAATAGAGAGAGGGGGAGTGAAGAATAAGGAGAGGGGGAACAAGTTCCTGAAGATTGCATACACCAACATAGATGGAGTGAGATCGAAGATACTGGAGTTAAGTGATGTAATACAGCTGCAGACACCAGACATTGTTGCACTTACGGAGACAAAACTTGAAGATGTAATTTTAAATGAGGTCATATTCCCAAGGGGCTACTCAATTTGGAGACGGGACAGAAAAATTAGGAAAGGCGGTGGCGTTGCTGTGCTGGTAAAAGAACACCTAAAGGTGAAGGAAATAATGACTGCCAATCCACAAGAAGTTGACATAATAGCACTAGAGATCTGCCATGAGGATGATAAACTAATGATGATAAATGCATATAGTCCACCGCCAAGCAGCACATGGTCAAAGGAGGAGCTAGATAGTAAACGTGAAGGTCTTATAACAATAATGAGAGAGATTATAGCGAGAGCGGATAACGATAGATCACGACTGTTGATAGTCGGTGACTTCAACTTGAAATCCATAGACTGGGAAGCATATGAAGCTAAAACAGAAGATTTTTGGACCTGTAAATTTGTAGACCTCATCCTGGAAACATTCTTGTATCAACATGTTAAACAAGCTACGAGGATGAGGGAAGGGGACGTTCCCTCCATGCTAGATTTGATATTTACCAGGAAGGAGGAAGAGATATTTGACATTCAGTACCTTCCTCCCTTGGGTAAAAGTGACCATGTCTTTTTGGGAATAAAGTATGCAATGCGTTATAAGCTGGAAGAAAATAAGGAGGTTGAAGCAGTTGAAAAACCAGACTTCAGGAGAGGACATTATGGTGACCTTAGAAATTTTTTTAGTGAGTATAATTGGACAGACTTGATGCTAGGCAAGGAAGTGAATGAGATGTATGGCAAGTTTTGTGAAATATATGATAAAGGCACAAAAAAATTTATACCAAAACAGAGATGCAGAACTAGGAAACAGGATTGGTTCAATAGAAATTGCGAGAGGGCTAGAGACCGAAAGACACAAAAATGGAATCAATACAGGAAGAGGCCGAACCCCCAAACATACCAGCGATACAAAGATGCGAGAAACAACTACACGGCAGTGAGGAGAGAGGCAGAAAGAAATTTTGAAAAAGGGATTGCGGACAAATGTAAAACAGAACCAGGTCTATTCTATAAATTCATAAACAACAAATTGCAGGTAAAGGATAATATTCAGAGGTTGAAAATGGGAAATAGATTCACGGAAGATGAAAAGGAAATGTGTGAAACACTAAACGAAAAGTTCCAAAGTGTGTTTGTACAAAATGAAATCTTTAGGGAACCAGATACAATAAGAATTCCAGAGAACAACATAGAACACATAGAGGTGTCTAGAGACGAAGTGGAAAAAATGCTCAAGGAGCTCGGTAAGAACAAAGCAGCTGGCCCAGATGGCGTTTCACCATGGGTTCTGAGAGAATGTGCATCTGAGCTCAGCATTCCACTTCACCTGATCTTTCAGGCATCCCTGTGTACAGGAATCGTAGCAGACGGGTGGAAACAGGCTAACATAGTTCCAATCTACAAAAGTGGCAGCAGGGAAGACCCCCTCAATTATAGACCTGTATCATTAACAAGTGTAATAGTGAAAGTATTGGAAAAACTAATCAAAACTAAATGGGTAGAACACCTAGAGAGAAATGATATAATATCAGACAGACAGTATGGTTTTCGATCTGGAAGATCCTGTGTATCGAATTTACTCAGTTTCTATGATCGAGCCACAGAGATATTACAGGAAAGAGATGGTTGGGTTGACTGCATCTATCTGGACCTAAAAAAGGCTTTCGACAGAGTTCCACATAAGAGGTTGTTCTGGAAACTGGAAAATATTGGAGGGGTGACAGGTAAGCTTCTATCATGGATGAAAAATTTTCTGACTGATAGAAAAATGAGGGCAGTAATCAGAGGCAATGTATCAGAATGGAGAAATGTCACAAGTGGAGTACCACAGGGTTCAGTTCTTGCACCAGTGATGTTTATTGTGTACATAAATGATCTACCAGTTGGTATACAGAATTATATGAACATGTTTGCTGATGATGCTAAGATAATAGGAAGGATAAGAAATTTAGATGACTGTCATGCCCTTCAAAAAGACCTGGACAAAATAAGTATATGGAGCACCACTTGGCAAATGGAATTTAATGTTAATAAATGTCATGTTATGGAATGTGGAATAGGAGAACATAGACCCCACACAACCTATATATTATGTGAGAAATCTTTAAAGAATTCTGATAAAGAAAGAGATCTACGAGTGGTTCTAGATAGAAAACTATCACCTGAGGACCACATAAAGAATATTGTGCAAGGAGCCTATGCTATGCTTTCTAACTTCAGAATTGCATTTAAATACATGGATGGCGATATACTAAAGAAATTGTTCATGACTTTTGTTAGGCCAAAGCTAGAATATGCAGCTGTTGTGTGGTGCCCATATCTTAAGAAGCACATCAACAAACTGGAAAAGGTGCAAAGACATGCTACTAAGTGGCTCCCAGAACTGAAGGGCAAGAGCTACGAGGAGAGGTTAGAAGCATTAAATATGCCAAAACTAGAAGACAGAAGAAAAAGAGGTGATATGATCACTACATACAAAATAGTAACAGGAATTGACAAAATCGACAGGGAAGACTTCCTGAGACCTGGAACTTCAAGAACAAGAGGTCATAGATTTAAACTAGCTAAACACAGATGCCGAAGAAATATAAGAAAATTCACCTTCGCAAATAGAGTGGTAGACGGTTGGAACAAGTTAAGTGAGAAGGTGGTGGAGGCCAAGACCGTCAGTAGTTTCAAAGCGTTATATGACAAAGAGTGCTGGGAAGACGGGACACCACGAGCGTAGCTCTCATCCTGTAACTACACTTAGGTAATTACACTTAGGTAATTACACACCATGGTAAGGTCCTGGTGGACTCACCTGGTACACAGTAAGGTCCTGGTGGACTCACCTGGTACACAGTAAGGTCCTGGTGGACTCACCTGGTACACAGTAAGGTCCTGGTGGACTCACCTGGTACATGGTAAGGTCCTGGTGGAGCCAGTGAACTTCGCGAGTAATGGTGTTGTGAAGTCTGACGGCAAACATTCCCTCGTAGAGGCGGGGGCCCGGCGCCTGCTTACTGATTACCACACTAATTATGCTCTGTAAACAACACAAATCACATTAAAACACTTCACAATGTTATTGTCTATGGAATTCTATTCTGAATAAACAATAGAAACAAGTACACTAAGTTTTATTAGGCTTTCACTTGTTAAAATATTAGTTTGGCTTACAGTCACGAGATAAGATGTTAACAACATTCAAGTTCTAGCTATCTGTCTGATTTATGTCCACAACACACCAAAATGTTCAAAAATATATCTATAGAAACATTCCGTTCTTTTGTTTTGATCAACACTGATTGGTGCAAACATATATTGACAAAAGCAACTTAGAGGTTTATCAAATAATTTTATTTAGCAACAAAAGCAACTAATAGGTTATAAATGTTGGAGATAAAGTGCAGCTGGCACAGCCAAATCTGTAAACTTATCTGATGAACATTAAGAACCCAACATTGAATGTAATAAAACACCATTTTCTGGGTGAGCCCCGGAGGCTCCTCCAAGCTATCAAGATAATATGCGAATCATTAGACAGGGACATTAGTCTATGGAGTTCTGCCTACCAGGGACCACTAGTCAGATCATGGACCCCTCAGCGAGGTGCAGGGAGCAATGCCCCTGGAAAAACCCCTGTGGACGGGGGTTAACCTTATCTTCCATCAACCAGGGTTAGGCACCCAGAGAGGTAGGCATAACAAAACAGACCCTAGGTGGTAAAAAAAATTACAACTGAAAGCCGAACAGAGAGGTAGAACATCCTCAATTCCCAAGGAAACAAGCAATCAAGCAAATGTCATACTCCGTCATACTCCGTAACATCCACCCCGAACACAAGCTGGAGCAGCTCCGCCAGTGCCACACGATAAGATTAAGACAGTATTAGGCATTAAATGACGGTCCTGAAAAAGCCAAAGCAGAAAGGGACAAAACAACCCAAACAGAAATACCTGTAGAAGACAACTAATGAAGAGAGAAAGAAAATTGCGGAAAGAACACCAGGAAACTTCATACTGTCGCTGAGATGAAGCTCTCAGGTGGGACACCATCAACAAAGCCACCTGATCACCATGTAAATGGTGATAAGCCCACAACAAAAAGACCAAACTCAAAGAGCAGAGGAGGAGAAGACGGAACCAAATATGTACCGGAATGGTCCAACTTGCTGGAAAAGGCAGACCCATGGAAAACGCCCCGAGTTCGGAAACAGAGCAAGCAGCGCCTGAAACAAAGGCTGGGCCGGCCACCAAGGGGCTGCTAGGACTACTCTCCCGTGGTAAAACTCCATTGGAGCCATAACCCGAAGCAACAGCTAGACTGGGGGGGAGGGGGAAGAGGTACAGGTAACCCTACCTCGACCAGTCCTACTGCGAATGCCTCGCAGTCGGGGAAGGGTGCCACATAGCTCGGGAGACGTTGAGACCAAGGCGATACAAAAAGATCCACTTCCGAGAGTCCGTACGTCTGGCAGAGCCAACTGAAGGAGTTGGTGTCAACCATCCATTCCGTAGACCAGGAAATGAACCGAGACAGGCCGTCCACCAAGACATTGGACACTCCCCAGATATGAACCACATGGAGAGCCAAACCCCAAGAAGCAAGCAGATGAGACACTTGAAGTGACCAGCTTCAAAGAGGCAAGGACCGTAGAGAGAACCCTGCGGTTCAGGCAATGAACCACCAGAGAACAGTCTGAATGGAGCCGGATGGTCGAACCCCGAGTGCCCCAAACCCTCCGAAATGACAGCCAAACTGCCGCGAATTCCCACACCGTGCTGTGAGCCCGACAAAAGGAAGGGCGCCCACCGCCTCTGGCCAGCCTGGTGAGCACTGGTCACAAAGCCCCAGCCAAGAGACGGTACATCCGTGAACACATCGAGCGAGGGCTCGGGCAGGCGCCAAGGCACTGAACCCTGAAAACCGCGAAGAGGAAGCCGGCAACTCAGCAGCCAACGCCGGAAGGAAAACCTCCTGAAGGACAGATCTGAGGAACCCTAGGGAGCCCAGAACCGAACTTCGGAGGAGGCGACGACAAATCATACTCATACAGGGAGGGGGACTAAGAAAACCCCTGCAACAACAAGCTCCGCAAAGAGAGCACCAATACCCAAGCGGGGGTCAAAGGGGGGCCCAAGGCCTCCAGGTCAACTCCTCCCAGCCCTGGGATGTCCGAAGTCGGGACCCGGGGTCCTCCATACCCTCTACCCCTGAAGAAAAGGCAGAGTCCAGGGAAAAGGCTGAAAAGAAGGGGGCCTGTTGGCGAGACCCAGAAGCCTCGGAAGGAGGAACCGGCTCGAATGCCTTCATCCCCAACCTGAATGGGGCAGCCCCGAAGCTGCCCGAGTCTCATTACCAACTAAACCCTGCCCCAACCCGAAACCCTAAGATGTTTGGGAGCCGGAAGCAAGGGAGGAAAGGTGCAGGGTGAACAACAGAGGAAGGTCCAGGGAGTGCAGACTGAACCAAAGTCGAAGTGACTAATGCCCCCAGGTCTGGGTCTCTATAACCAAAGCAGGGCAGCTGCGGGGCATCAGGGTGGGAAACTAACCTAGCGCATTGCAGCAACCTAAACCTAACATGCAAGGTGGATGCCGCCTGTACCCTAACAGTAATGTCATCAGAATAGTACTGGAGAACAAGACTCGCAAGACTCAGGGTCAAAGGTATCGGTGATCCAACAGACAGCATGACAGAGGCAAAGGCGGTGACTGTCACCCTGAGACAAGGGCACACCCTTGTGTGCCCTGTGTGCCCGAGGCCCCCATAGGGGGCCTCGTAGCCTGGTGGATAGCACGCAGGATTCGTAATTCTGTGGCGCAGGTTCGATTCCCGCACGAGGCAGAAACAAATGGGCAAAGTTTCTTTCACCCTAAGTGCCCCTGTTACCTAGCAGTAAATAGGTACCTGGGAGTTAGTCAGCTGTCATGGGCTGCTTCCTGGGGTGTGTGTGTGTGTGTGGTGTGTGGGAAAAAAAAAAAAAAAAAAAAAAAAAAAAAAAAAAAAAAAAAAAAAAAAAAAAAGTAGTTAGTAAACAGTTGATTGACAGTTGAGAGGCGGGCCGAAAGAGCAAAGCTCAACCTCCGCAAAAACACAACTAGTAAACACACAGTAACCTTCAAACCGACACTATGCGGGCTGGAACTGTAAAGATACATCCATCAGTCCATCAAGCCCCGACAGGGTTTTCTAGGGCCCGTAGGCTGACTGCAACGAGGAAACCCGGGCAAGGTGTTGCTAACCAGTTAAGACCCAAAGCTAACAAGGAAGATCAAAACTCTGAAACCCCTGTGACATGCACAATCACAAGGGCCTAGCAGAGGCCCACCAATATATTATAAGTGGAACTATAACCACACCATGCAAGAAAAACAAAAACAAAAGAAAACCCCTGTAAAAATACATCCTCAAAGGAAACAGGAACTGGCCACTGTGTAGGTAGGCAGGCTACACAACACCTTGATGCCCCAACCTGAACGATACCAATCCCTGCCCAAAGCCAAACAAGGGACGAAACACCAGCTAGCCCTAAGGGCAGGGTAGGGGGGTAGAAATAGCCTAAGCTACTCTATCCCTTTGAGGTGTATTTCTTTCTTATCTCAATAAACATACTTGAACTTGAAAGGCAGGGTAAATGCCAAGCAGCAAAAACCCTATGGAATTGGTTCCCGAATGCACCAGAGAAGAGAACCCTAACATGCAAGAGAAGGAGGTGCACTGTGCACTCACAGTGCACTTAGAGAAGGAGGCCTCTAAGCACATGCAACCAATGACACCGCAGGGGACACCATGAAGGCAAACACTGCTTGGAAAGCGAAGCCAGGCAAGATGTCCACCCCGGTTCGCATTAGCTGACGAACTGGAGTGGCTGGGTCGCCGGCGTGGGGGATCTCCCCCTCCCCCACCCAGTGGTAGGGATGGGAGAGCTAAGCGGACGAGCGACGCAGCAATAGAGTGTGATGTTTGCTTAGTTCCTTGGGAATTGAGGGAGTTCTACTTCTCTGTTTGGCTTTCAGTTGTAATTTTCTTACTATATGGCAGCAGGTAAGGTTAACCCCTCAACCACACGGGGGTTTTCCAGGCCCATTGCTCCCTGCGCCTCTCTGAGTGGCCCAGGTTCTGCCTGGTGGTCCCCTGGTAAGGTGAACGTCATAGACTAATGCCCTGGTCTATAGTAGCAGGCATCCATCAGTCATAGGAGACTATGGAGTTGAGCTCTGGTTGTCGGTCTGGAGTGGCCTCTCCAGCGCGCAAAGCCAGGGTAGGTTGATATGGAGGAGAAGCTGTCACCAAGCAGTAGGTCTCCCTCTCCATGGTGCTGAAAGTTTCCAATGGAAAGGCAATAGCCAATACAATTGGTTCCAGCTCCGTCGCAGGACTTGTCAGAATGAGGTTGAAGGCAACAATGAACTGCCCTAAGGGCTCCAGTTCCGGAGTTAACCTCGAAGTTGGTAAAAGAAGGCACAGGGACCCCCAAACCCGGAGACTGCTGTGGTTGGGGCCGGAGAAGAACTACCCCAGCAAGGGCGAGAATGACCCCACCCTCCCGAAGCAGAGCTTGGGCCGCACAAGCCCCAGGAGGTGGACCCGCACCTACGGGTTCCAGACAGACATTGTCACAGCCTCCTTACACCCGAGGCCGGCTTCCGTCAAGACCAAGCAGAAGGAATAGTAATAATTAGCAATTACAACAATTATTATTATAATCATTATTATAATAATAATATAACTAATAATTATAACTAATCATTAGACCACCACCTGGTCTAATGAATTGCACATTAGCCCAATAGCTCCAGGGAACTGTAGGGACGACCCACACAAATTTAGCCCAAACTGTCTTTTTGCACTGTTAAAAATTTTGTCTAACAGTCATGTGATCTACAGCATTACTTATATGATATTTATACTCTCTATGCTTCGTGATCCTAACCACATGGGGCCCGTCCTAATTCCTCTTAACTGACTTTTTTACCGGGAATGTTCAAAAGTGAACAAATTCAATTTTATTTGGGTTTCTTGTTTAGCAGAAATCCCAGT